TTTAAAGAAATGGCGTGTCGTCTATTTCCGCTGTAGCGAACGTAGTACATAGGGCGACATCTAGATGTCATCTACCTCGCCCTATTCACTACAGATGTCGCCCTATGCACTAGACTTTTTTATAGGAACTTTGCAAAGCAAAGGTTTTATGGTGTCGGACACACAACATTGAAAGTTTCTGGAGCCACAACATTGCAAGTTGATAAAAGCGTTGTAAAAATACGCAGTGCTTTTCCACTACACCTATACATAGGGAAGGAACACATCGCAACGGCCTTGATTGGCGACACAGGTGGAGCGTTTTATGAAAAAGAACTAAACTCAATACACTCAACCAAGACAAGGTAAAAGCAGTAATAATGCGGCGCCAAAACAGCAAAACCACTGAAGCCGACGGAATACCGAAAATACATGCCCGAAGTCTGAAATCTCTTTGTACGTTAAGTAACAGCTTTTAGCTCCGTCAAAATTGGGATAGATCTCGCCGCGCCGTTCGAGATCGAACGAGAGGTTTTGAGAGAAATTCGCGTAACTTCCGTAATCTTGCGTAACTGACATTTTTGCTGGCGTGAGCGTGCGCGAGTAAGATTTTTTCGTCAGTCACTTAATTTTCACATGTGTACGTGTATTTTTAACCAATAAGACATTAATATGGAAATAAATATTTATCTGAATAAATTATAAAATAAAAGTTGTGACGACGTATTAAAATTTTTAAACAAAGCTAAAGATTTGTGACTTAGGAGCGTTTCAAGGCAAATTTTAAACATGCCAGCTATCTCAGCAGCCACTCTCAGAAAACACTCTCTGCCAGGGGCTCAGGCAGAGTTCTAGAAGAAAGATGCTTGATGAACACCTCGAATAAATATTATTTTATTACACTGTACGAAAATTTCATTTTTTTTTTCGGGGGAATTTGTGAAACCAAGTTTTTTCTGTAGGGCTGAATTGTATATAGAAAAGTAATTTCTCAATTTTGCGATTTTTAACAATCAAAATAAATTCTGGGGATTTTCGGCTACGAAGAATCTGAATGTGCAATTTATTTTTATTAAAACCGGGGTTCGCATGACCACCAACTTCAGTTGAAACAAAAACGCCGGAAATCGCCAACCCGGGAAAACTGAGAAATTACTTTTCTATATGCAATTCAGACTAATGTCTAATGTCCATACGTCAAGTTCACTTGGAAACGCACTCATTCACAAACATTCGAATAAGCGAGCAATAAGAATTTATGTATGGGTTCATATTTATTTTTATTTATTTGTGAGTAAATAGCGCGGAAAATTTGTTTGTTTGCCGTCCGACCAAAAAGATGTGGTTGCGTGGGCGTTAAATTTCGCAGTTCACTGATGTCTTATGCGTTTGTACGTGAACAATTTTCACTCAACACGTGAGACATCCGGAATTAATTTTTATTCGTCAATTTGGTGATGATAAGTGGCCTTCTAATAGATTGAAATGGTAATTAAGGCATAAATATGCCAATGTTAACATTAATGAGCATTCATTTTAGTTGTGAGTGATTTAGACTGGCGCATATTATATATATAGTAAATCTAATTTGTTTAACAGTAAATCTGCCTTAGCCATTTTCAATGCTGACTTAATACCCCTAACGGAATTTCTGCGGTATTTAGAGCAACTGCCAACACTGTTGGTTGCCATAGCAGTTAGTATTTGATCGATAAGTGCATAAAACTGTCAGAAAATTAGAAAAAAAAATACTAAATAATAATAATTTAAATCAAAATAACAAATAAAGTCAGAAGCTTTTAAAATAATATTAAATTCATAATTAAAAAGCAAGCAAGAGAAAAACTTAGCAAACAAATATTGCAAACAAAATTCAACGTCGACGTTTTAAATGCAAAATTTATATAAATTTATAAGTTACGAATTAATATACAGTCATAAGTCGTAATTTGTGGTAAGAAACCAAAAGAATTTTTCCGAAAATGGAAGAGCTGCGCGATGCCAGCATACACCACACGGCACAAAAGCTCGCCATTGCGATAAAGTCCATGAAAAACTATAACGAGATTTTCAAAAAAGTGCAGGTAAATACAAATACAGCAAAATCCTCAAGCACCGGAATATAAAAAAATTTTCCATTGGCTTAGAAACTTGCCTGCAGTCCTGGCGTTGATAAGAACGATCTGCGCAACACTTTGGAGGATGCCATCAAATCGACGGGTCTTGAAACCGAAATACGCAATGTCGTTTTCCATTTAGTCCGCAATACACTCGGCACAGAACAACAAAAGTCGCAGGAAAAATTATCGCACAGCGCCGATCCTCTGGGATATTTGCGTCGAGCGGCTGTGCAATGGGATCGTCGTGTACGCAAAAGTTTGAATGCCATGTGTGCCGAACTGAGTATGCCGCTGCAGGGGCAACCACGTCCGGTGATGGATCGCGATGAATTGATAAGTAAATGGGATGAGTTGAGCAATTACAATATTGGTGAGTGGGTGTTGGCAGTTACTAAGGGAAGTGTTCACGAAGCTATGGGCCAAATATAGTAAAAATGTGTTTTTAGTTTTTCTCGCAGGATTTCTTTAAAAGGACTTTGGAAATTTTAAAACTATATTTATTTACTTTTAAAAATTATCTAACAAATTCAATGCAATAAGAAAAAGAGTATGGGTATCAAAATAAAGAGAATATTCTGTGGAATTAACGCAGATTAAATGTTTTGGTGCATAAGGACGTTGCAGGTATTGAAAATGTTCTTTAAAAATGTTATGCTTGAAATTTTGCTATACTAATTGCGACTAATATACACTCGACCACATCCTTGTATTTCGCCCTTCCAACTTTATCAGCTTAAAAAAAGAAAATTTGTTAAAAGAGGATTTTCGATACCTATTCGTCCTTGTGAACCAAAAAAATTCATTGTTTTTTTTTAGTTCTACAGAATTTTCTCTTTCGTTTGGTTCCCATATTGTTATTCCAAATTTCACTTATTTTTTTTAAATAATTTTTGGAATTAATCATATCTTTGAAATTACAAGGTCCTTTTAAAAAATCCAGATGCCAGCGAGAAAAACTAAAAGCGCAGTTTTACTATATCTGACCCATCGTTTCCTGAATATCGTTGCCTTAATATAGAAAGGCCCTATCTGACATCGTCGCTGATTTACAAAAAGTCGTAACTAACTAAAAATCGAAAATTTACGTTTTAATTGAATTTGATGCATTTGATCGAATTATGTGGCCCCAAATCGTTTTATGCAATAAAAGATTTTAGGTAGTTACGGCTTTGTGCATTTCAGCGACGATGTGAGATAGGGCCTTTCTATATTAAGGCAACGATATATTGTTTGCTTTCATTTTTTCAATTTTTTTTTTTGTCGCACGGTGTATTAGGGGTATCAGCTATGGTTACGGATTTTTCGAAGTTTTGTTTTTGATTATTATTTAATTCTTATCATCCATGCCTACATCATGTCCAAGCCCATACATTCCATTTTCGTTACCCGTCAACCACACTAGCAGGGTGATCGATCTTGAGTAAGATAGTTGTCTCGGAAGCCCTTAATGCCGTCACAGCTAAAGGCTGGTATGCAGCTCTCTCGGTCAAGAAAAATTTGCCATTATTTCGTGTGTGTGTCCAAGGAATTTTGACATTTATGATACTTCACAACCTGTTGCCTCACTCTTTCCTCAAGAAATAATGGAACGGACATATATTTCTGTTGCAAGCCTGGGTTGCCTTGTGCTCTTTTTTTCACAAAAAACTTTAGAAAACCGTAGTAAAAAGCGTAGCAAATTTCTTAAGAACTGCTTACTGCCTGAAGGAAATTTGACTCAAGAAAATTTCTTAGCCATTTCTTGTACGTCATTTTGTATGGAATTTTAGCTTTTCTTGAGAACTTCATACAGGCCTTAACCATGTTTGTGAAGTTAGCATACGGTAAGACGCAAAAAGAGAAAAAATTATGTACTCAGTCGCTTTTCAATAGTTGCAGATTTGAAAAGGTGGAAAAAAGTTCTGGATATTTGACAAACACATTTTTTTTCTAAAATTTTGTATGCCAGATTCACGCAACATACGACATGTGGAAAAAGGCAAATAAAAAACGTTTCTGAGTAGCTTCTCAATAGTTCTAGAGTTCCTGAGACGGAAAAAAAAGTTCTGAAAAATTACGACGAATGTTTTTCTTTTAAATTAAGCTTTTTCGGCTTTTTTGAAAAAATGTGCAAAATTAAACTTTTCAATTTTCTCGCATACGAAATCTTATAGCAGAGATATTTTTATATGTGAACATTTCATCGCATACCATTACAGTGCGAATATGTTGTAAATTTTCTATATGTGTTGCGAAAATTGTACTTATTTGGTTGGTTTTTCTTGCACAGCGTTTCTCCGAATTACGCCACTTTTATTTACTCGAAATCAAAACTTATATGGAAGAAGAATTATCAAAAAAATTAACAAATGAAAACGGAAATCACATACAAAAAAAATCCTAAACTAATGTTAGCTCCCAGGCAAGTAATTCTTTACTGTTCGCTGATATGGTCGTCATTTACAATTGGGGTATTCACAACGGTGTCGTAAGTGTGGAATTGTTGTATGTCGTAAACTTTAAACGCCTAAAAAATGTATTAAGGGGGTTCACAAAGTACCTTCAAAGTCATATTATGAATTTTCGCAGTATGAAAAAATAGTTGGTTGTGGTTTCAAGTTCTCTAAACATTTATTTAAGCTTTTAAAGTTTACGACATACAACAATACGACACTTACGACATCGTTGTGGATCCCTCAAATAGCTCACCTAACAGGTAACAGATACCCGAGCTACTAGTATCTAGGGGTTTTCAAAGGATAAATTAAATGACTCCAGGGCAAAGTTATATGTGTAGACCATCTGGCGACAATGATCTAAAGCTTGTTTGCTCTCTCACGGGACGGAGAGGTCCTTCCGAATTTGGACGAAACTGAAGTTTGTGTTCAACGTCACTCTACATACATTGCCTAAATATAGAAAATCCCTAAATCTTTTTTTTCGAAATTCAGCTTTATACAAAGATCGGCAGATTGATTATGTAACGGCTTAATATAATTTAAAAATAAACTATTACATCAATAAATTAGTTTTAGTGCTTATTAAAACCCAAGAATTTCAAGAAATTCCCAACTTAAGAACTTTAGCTTTTATAAAGTTGTGTAAATACTCCGTAAAGACACCAACATTTTAGATAGGGTTCTTTTATATTAAGGTATAAGATATGCAAGTACTCGTATCGGTTTCGCGCGGACCTCAAATTTAGACATGGCCCTTCTCCTCGTGATATCCAAAGCGAATTTAAAATCTACAAAGAAACGGTGTGTGTTAGTTCAATTATATACGGTATTTGCGCGATTTGAGGTGCTGCGAGAATCTGGTGGAGTTACCAGGGCTGATGCCACACTGATGACACCCAACCAGCTCGTTCCTTAAATACTTAAGTCTTTCACACAGTATCGTCGATAGAAGTTATAGAATGATTGGCGCACATTGTGGGATTTGCCCTTCTCGTTAGATCAAATTACGCTTAAGAGCCTCCGACTTTGAATAATGGACGTGAGCTTCGTCCCTAAAAAAAATGGACGGGATTCTTTTTCATACAAATTATTCAGGAGATGCCCAAATTTCCATCTTCATCTCTGTGGGAACTTGAAACGTTTTGATTGCTGCCTTTTTTTGACAGAATCTCGGCCCGCATTTTTACCTGCCAGCAAGTATTTTTTTTTTTTTTTTTTTAATAGATAACTTTTTCTTCCTGTCTTTCCGTACTAAAAGACTAGTCACAATCATGTATGCACTTATCGCTCATTTACTTCCATACTGTCATAACACAAAAAACCAAAAACTCGAGAAACTGCACAAGGTTGTGGTTACACTTCACAGTCTTTGCATTTTATCAAAAGCCTTCCACTTAATTTATTAAAATTGTTTTCTTCTTCTGGAAAAGCAATGTATTAATGGTTATTTTACTTTTTTTAGATCTATCCAACTACCGCCCCGTTTACGCTCCAAAGGATCTGCTGGATGTCTTGTTGTCGCTCAAGGGTCCACAAAAGCCCGCAGGAGACACTGAGTTTGTGTACATTTTTTTCCCCCTCAATACATAAAATTAAATAATTCGCTAAAACACATTTATTGAAAAACTTTAAAGTTCAACCTTTTTTCATCCGCAGGCAAGTACCCAATTGGGAGTTTTCACACATCGATTTGCCTGTAAAGAACCTTTTTGAATTGGTACGACAAAAATCGATTTTGAAGCAAATCAAAACCTTTTTGAAACGCTATTTTTCTTAAATCTCCAGCGTTTGCTATTCGCTGAACTCTTGCGCAAAGAAAGTACAACAAATATTTTGGACTTACCCACACAATGCAAGCGTATACTGGATACCAAGCAGGCGCCACTTTGTCAACATTTTCTGAAGAAGGGCAGAACGCCGCCACCATTTCGTGGTGAACTATGGTCCTTTGTGCTATCGCACGGCAGTTACATGAATGGGCAGGTTGGTGGGGAGAGATATGTATGTAGTTGAATCTCGTTTTGGAAATCATTATTGGTGATACTGGAACGCATTGAACTTTCATTGCAATTTTATTTTAAGGACACTTTTCACTTTTCTTTTTGTCTGCTTCAGGAATGCGATCACTGGGCGAATTTACGCAATAAAGTTTTAACCACCGATCACATTGTGGATAAACTGATTTTCAAGGACATTCAATTGACGGCTTCAAATGACGATCAGTATTTTGTTTTCGAAGATGTGCTCTATCAGATAATGCTATGCTTTTCGCGCGACACTGAGATAGCCAGTCAAATACAATTTGAAAAATATCCGGTGAAGGGTAGAAATTATGATGGTCCGCCATCAGGTGTGGTGCCCTTCCATGGCATTTGCATGTTTGGTAATTAATGATATTGGAAATTCCAGAAAGATATTAATTTCATTGGTGACTTTGCGTTACAGCGGCTCCATTTTGTTACTTATATGACTCTTCTATTAATTTGTACTTCACATTTCGCGCTTTCTATATACGCTACTGCCATCGATTGACCACAATAAATACACATCCGCAGGTGGGTTGGTTGGGCTTATCGTGGAGTATGGGTTGATATTCCGAGCCATTCACATAAAACGCTTTCGTTGCAGGGCATTGTCAGCTTATGTCTGCTTTTTGAGAAGCTTTTGCAAACACATGAACCGCAGCTATGGTCGCACTTACGTGAACTGCAAATACAACCGTAAGTATATTTTAGAAATCTCATTATTTTATGCTTGATTTTTTTTATCTCATTTGATAGATTTATAAAGTTATATGCATAATTTTTTTCTAAGCAATTACAAATATAGTGCTTATCATAACTATACGACACCCAATGTTGACAAGTTTTGACAAAAACAATTGGCTAAAATCAACAGTATTTTGTAGCTACTTAAAACCTACAACTTACAATTCAATGAGCCAAAACACTGGATACATAAAAATTTTCTAAAATAAATAGTCAAAATGTGTCAATATGTGGATGTCATGTAATTATGATAAGCACTATACATACATATATCGAGATCGAAGCAATTTTTTCTATTCTTTTTGTGGTTGATGGGGTTTTTTTTTTTAATTTCGGAATGAGGTTCGTGATTTGGTCCTTATCAAACTATTCGCCAAGGCCTTTGTATATTTCATTTTAAACACCGAAGCTTAAATTACATCGGTTGACGTCACTATGGGCCAGGAAGGGATCAAAGCTGTCCAAAATTCAAAATCTTATCCGATTGGCTTTAAATTTGTCACTCGGGGATTTTGGGGGTCGATGACTAAGGATCTGACATTAAATTTTAAAAATTCCAAATGGCGGACGAACTTCAAACTTGTTACTCAGGGTTTTTTGTAGTCGCTGATTGCGAAGACAAACTCAGACTTGAGAAATTCAAAATGGTGGATCGAATATGGCGAACATTTTTTTCTTTTAATTTGTTGAATTTACTTGAAATTTGTTTCGTGGGTGTTTTTGAGATCACAGACTGTAAATTTAGTATCAGATTTTTTAAATTCAAAACGTTTTCACTCGTTATTAACAGAATACTTACAGTGAAAATTACAAAGATCGGGTCACTTTTACATATATCTCCCATACAACTGAACTGATGTTCAGATATGGGGTTTTACTGTTAAACTCCTTTATTTGGACGACGAATTTCGCAAGCTATTTTATAAATAATAACACAAATTCTACTGAGAAAATCGCTAAAATCTATGCTGTATAAGCTTTATCCATTATACCACTGATTATTGAGATACCAGTTTCTGCGATATATGTATCTCCTTTATGTAGGAAACTAAACCCATTAAATTGTATTACCAGTTTACATAGATTGGTACTATATAAGTTATATCTTCCATACCTCTGATTGTTTCGATATGATTTTTTATATATCTATCGCGTCTAATCTGTTAAAGTAAAATCTGTTAAAGTAAAATTTGGAGAATAATCATCTTTAACAAGGTAACCTAATAACCAGGCAGTCGTGAATAGCGTATCGCTTATACAAGATATGTATATTCATCTATGTATATACCAATTTTGGCAGACTAACGTTAGTTAGTTTTGCATATATTTAGTACATACACTTGTAATATGTATTCCTCCTTCTACTCCTTCTCAGCATCCGCATCGTTTTCAAGTGGCTAATGCGCGCCTTCAGTGGGCACCTACCGCCGGATCAGCTGCTCATACTCTGGGATTTGGTATAACTACCTCCTTTCTCCGTAAAAATAAAAATTCCATAACTTACTTTGTGCTCACTTTTGCAGATTCTCGGCTATGACAGCTTGGAAGTACTCTCACTCTTTGCCATTATAATTTTGAGTTTCCGCAAGGAGAGTCTCATGCAAGTCTCATCGCTGGATAATATTGAGGCAATATTGGCGGATTTATCATCGATCAAAGTGCTGCCGCTGATACAATTGGCGCTAAGTCGTGATTGAGGAGGCGTGTGTGGCAATACTGATATGAATGTTGATTTATGTATGAATGTAGTTTGAGAATGTATGCAAGTATACCCTGACATTTTGACAATTTTATTTATTTATATTTTCCCTTCCAAAATTTTTCTTATTTTTTTATAAATATATAGTTGTTTCAACCGCAAAAACCACAAGAATCAAATTTTTATTTATTTTAAATATTATGTAAGTTCAAAAATTTAAATCAGTTCTTCTCGAGTGTTTAGGTTTTTTGAGTTATGACAATATTGAAATAAATGAGTGATATATGAATATATGTATTAATTTATTTTATATCAGTATATCGTCACCTTACTTCACGAAAGTCCCTAACCAACAAATTTGTAATTTTACAGCAGATGAACAAATAGGTAGGACTGTTTAAAAAAATAGCATTGAACTCCATAGTTTTTGGTACTAAGACCTTAAAATTTATATTTTAACGGTGTATTTTAATATTTTGTAATTGTAACGCATTTCATTTTTTAACTGTACAGAAGCTGATTAGGTTTTTATTTATTTTAATTTTATTTTTTTCAAATTATTTGGTCTCTATTTGCCGGTAATATTATATTTTTTTAAAGTAACTTTGTTTTTTCTGAATAAAAATTTTGAAATTTTGATGAAAATTGTTTGAAGTTTTGTGAACTTTATATAAAGTGTGAAATTATGATTTCTATGATTTACGTTGTGGAATGAACTATATTTTCATAAATAATTAACGAAAAAAAGTGTTAATGAAAATAATTGTGAATGTTATATTAGAACAAGGTGTACACTTACATTTGACACTGACTGTATATAAATTACAATTTCCTTTAAGACTCTGATCTAATTCGTCGTACCTAATCTAGCCCTCATTCATTGTTATTTTATGTAAGCCTTTTTATGTAAGCCTTTTTCAAAATAAAACTTATCAGACTGTTAAAATTTAAAATGACATATTTTCCAAACAAAATTGTTTCTTTTTAAATCTTAACAGACTGATAAATTTAAAATTGATTGGTGCAACCGGGCATTGATTGTATTAATTGAAACTCACTTGCATTTTAATTGCATGGTAATAATTTTATTTAGGCTAATAGTATAATAATTTTAATTTTATAAATTCAAATATACACATTTTATTTTCCTTATAGTGGAACAACAATAATATAATTTTATTTCATATATTTGTATTTATGTATGTACATATGTATGTAGGTAGTATTCCTGTGGGAAAACGCACTAGTGCCGAATCGGTTCGGTACTAAGGAATTTAGAACCATCCGTTTTAATTCTCGTTTGCATGTTAGCAACCTTTTTCGATAGTTCTGAACCAGTCCGAAATTCTCGTTCGCCCTGCATCCTGTTTTCTATAGTTCCGAATCAGTTCTAAATTCTTCACCGTAGATATAGATTTCTAGTGAAAGGTTTTTGTATTCTGCGGGACTTAAAAAATTTGTTGTGAATATTTTGGACTTAACAAATTTACGTATCACTGAACAGAAAACGGTTAGAAATAAAATAGGCAGTCTGATCTTTTAGAAAACGGCTCATTTCTAATTGTTCTTTCCTTGCATTAAAAAACTTGCATTAAATACAATTTTTTAAAAAAAATGTACTTCGCAGCAACTTTTCACTTAGCTGGCGATATTTAGTTTTATAAAGTAAAATAAAATATTTAGTACCACATTTCGCTGCTGCTGGCCTGATTCGTTTTTGGCGATAAAAATCTAGTACGGAAGTAAAAATTTGGTTCACTAAAGGTTCGGGGTTTCCCTGCAGGGATAGTACGCACGCAATAACATAAGAAATTAGCATTTATATCAATAATCCATACATATTATTAAATTTTTATTTTGTTTAAAAAATTGTTTAAGGAAACTTTATGCGTTTGTGTATGCTGTCGTCTGGGTACGAGCAACTTTTGTTTAATTTTACAATGCAATTTTTCTGTTCATTCATTTTTTTGTATGTATGTTTAAAATATATGTATATGTATGTTTTTTTTGTTTGTTTGATACATTAAAGAATTTTATATGATTTTGCTGCGTCAATTCCAATATCTAATAACTTTTTACATAATTATTTATTTTGTTTTTATTAGTTTATTGGCCTATTGAATTATTATCTAATTTTTTTAATAATTACTCATGAATTTTTATTATATCGTTATTTCAATACTAATTTTTAACTATAAATGTAAACAGTACATTCAAACAAGGACACTGCTTCGACACTTACGAGGTTGAAGGTTGATTTAAGTTTTGATTTAATTTCATTTAATTTGATTTGATCAATCGTTTTGCATTAACGTTTTATTTTAAAAATTTATTAAACAGCTTTTGTTTATTAGGTATCATAAATGTTAAAATTAGCAAATCGTTACGTCATTTGCACTGCTTAGTTACATTTGATTTATTTATATTTAATATAATTTCCTAGCTACAAATCCATTTTTTATATGTATATGTAAATATTTTTCTTTTTGTTTTTAAAACACACTAAAATTTTTTATTTTTTTATGTATGAATGTACATCTTCAATTATGTATTTTTACATTTGGTTATACATTTTTGTATGCATTCAAGTAGTATATGTATGAGTAGGCAATTTGAATTTTTACACCCTCTCAAATTTCTCTTGCTTTGGCGCATTTAAGAATTTTCCATTAAAAATGTACTTAATTTTAAGTACTATTTAGTTTAACATATGCGCTTTTAATTTACTTACAACATTGTAATTAATTTTAATTAGTCGCTAAATAGTTTGGCTTCTCCTAAATGTTGAATTTTTTTCTCGCAGCGTAAGTTTGTTACAAAAGTTTTCAAAAAAGCAGGACAACTTTTTGAACTAAACGTTTTATTTATTATTTAATTTATTTATTTGTTTTTAAATAAATGTATATTTTACAAGAATAATACATATATACGATATAAGGATAAGGAATGGATACATTTAACTAATACATATAAACTCGAAACAGATTTTATTAATTGAAATCAAAGACGAGTAAAAAATAAATTTTAAATGTACATGAAAAACGCTTAAGTTAATAACTAAAAAAAATGTACACACAGTCTGTGTCAAATGTAAGTGTGCACCTTGTGCTAATATAGTATTGACAATTATTTTCATGAACAATTTTTTTCATTAATTATTTATGAAAATATAGTTCATTCCACAACGTAAATCATAGAAATCATAATTTCACACTTTATATAAAGTTCACAACACTTCA